ACTCAGAAATCCGCCTGCCTCTGCCTCCCAAGTGCTGGGATTAAAGGCGTGCGCCACCACCGCCCGGCTAAAAACTTTTAATAACTCAAAAACTCTTAGTGACTTGAACTTAAAAAAAAAAGGTTCAATTACATTTCTTTATGTGGAACTGCAGGTGTGTGTGGAGGTCTGAGGACAACCTGCAGGAGTTGACACTCTCTCTGTGGTCTGGGTCTCAGGGACTGAACTCAGGTCACCAAGCATCATTGTCCACTGAGCCCTACTGCACTGGCCTGGGGCTCCGTGTAATATAACAAACTACTTGCTTTATGAATGACTCTTAGTACAATGGAAATCATGTCCATTTTCTATTAAATAACACATTTAACAACAGTTTTGGCCTTAAATGCCTATGACTCTCAAAAGCTTGGCCAGACCTTGACTGAGACTGAAAACAGATCCGTCACCTCTGGAGGAACTGAGTCCTCACTGGAGACAGACCCTGCTTATGAGAGAAGTCACAGATTGCAGAGGTGGCTTCCAGCTCTGAGAATGTATGGAGCTGTTAGGCTTTGATCCTGATGGGGTATTCCTAACATGTTCCCTTTTTAATAAGAATTGAATTAAACCTGACAGGGAAATGTAATAAATTTAAAATCTGGCTGGGTGGTGGTGATGCATGTCTTTGATCCTAGCACTGAGAAGGCAGAGGCAGGCAGATCTCTGAGTTTAAGGCCAGCCCTGGTCTACAGACCAAGTTCCAGAACAGTCAGGGCTACACAGAGAAGTCCTATCTTGAAAAACCAAAAGGAAAAAAAAAAGAAATTTAAGTTGTTTCTAGAAAAAAGCCTGTCACTACTATAGAAACTGTTGAGAATCTTACCTAATACTACTGTCTTCTGCTTTAAAGGGCATTTCAGCTTTGGGAAGAGAAGACTTTGCCATCAAAGTGCTGTGAGAAGACCACTGAGAGGGCCATGAAGGCGGAGATGCACCTTCTGGACGTTTGCTACCAGATGTGCCAGCGCCACTGTCGCCACATTTACAAACTTGTAATGGAAAGTAGAGCAGGACTCAATAGGTGTTCATCAATTTTAAATCTAGATTTTCTTAAAATTTATCACTGACTTTATTCTAGAAACCTAATTTCAATTTTTGAAAGACAAAACATAGGCTATATATGGATTTATCAGCTTCCTTAAAAGTAATAAGTTTCAAAAAACTTCTTTTGCTGAGTGTGGTTATAAGTCTAGCCTTTGGGAGGCAGAGGCAGGGGTATGACTAAAGTTTGAGGCTAGCCTAGGCAACCTAGGGAGTTTCAGGCCAGCCAGGGCTACATTTTAAGATCTGTTTCAAAAAATCAAAAATAAAATACTGTCTTAGTTAGGGTTTTACTATTGTGAACAGACACCATAACAAAGGCAACTCTTAAAAGGACATTTTAATTGGGGCTGTCTTACCAGTTCAGAGGTTCAGTCCATTATCATCAAGGTGGGAACATGGCAGCATCCAGGCAGGCATGGTGTAGGAGGAGTTGAGAGTTCCATATCTTCATCTGAAGGCTGCTAGCCGAATACTGACTTCCAGGCAGCTAGGATGAGGGTCTTAAAGCCCACACCCACAGTGACACACCTACTCCAACAGGGCCACACCTTCTAATAGTGCCACTCCCTGGGCCAAGCATATACAAACTTCAAATACAAATGTCACTGTGAATTGTAGTTGAGGTAGTTAATCCAGTAAAATAAATGAGCTTGCTACCTGAGTAAGAGTAAAGTCAGTTGGAGTTTCTTCATGGTCTTCTGTCACATTCTTTCTGGCTTACCTGTTTGGATTGCTGATACTGACCCTAGAAAATGTATCTACTGTGTTTCACTTAATTAACAGGTAAAATCTAGGATCTGGTAGGGCTAGAACTGAATGTGTGATACATGGTAGTGTTAGGTGAATGAATTGAGCCTAAGTAATGTAGTTCTGTGAACTTAACTTTGAACAGGAATTTACCAACTGATTCTGCCAAGAGGGAATTAGGCTCAGTACTGCTGTCTGTTCTGGGAGACTTGAAAGTTAGGTACATGAACTTGAAAGAAAAAGTCCATAAGGGCATACCACTGGAAGAGCTGCCTCCACTGTCGATGGAGTCCAAACTGTTATCTGCCTTCTCCAATTTTACTTCTGGGGTATGTATGTGTTCTAGAATAAAACTGTTACTTCATTCTGACAGAAAATATACTAAATCTGTTTTTCCCTTGTTTTCAGCTAATGAAAGAAGAAACATGCAGGTGATTATAGTTTTATCTAGTGTAGAACTTACCTGCTCTTAAAAACTACTTAAGCCATATATCTAAATTCTCTTTTCTTTTTGAGACCACTGATAAATTCTTTAAGGAATGTTTTTTATTCAGCCTTTCAGGAACAAATTCTGAGCGAGATAATCAAAGTCTACCTGATGTTGATGTCTCTCCAAGCCTACTAAAGACATTGTCCCAGGTAAGAACTGGAGAGGGAGACTGCATGTTTGTGTGTGCAGCTGTGTATGCATGTGTGATACATGCATGTGGAGAGCAGAGTTCAACCTTGGATATTATTTTTCAGGAGCCACCCACATGTGCATTTGTGGAGGCAGGGTAAGAGGACACTTGTCACAGCGGACCTGTTTTAGAGCTGATATGAGGATGTCAGGAGACAACCTCTGGTGTCAGTCCTCAACCTCCCTCTTAAGACTGGGTCTCTGGCTCCTGTGCATTGTGTCAGCCTAGTTGGCCTTCAGACTTCCCCCAAGTCTCTGGTCTCCACCCTCTGTTTTGCAGTAGGAGATCTGGGATAACAGACCTACAATATCTTGCCAGGCTTTTACCTGGTTTTGGTCATCCACAGATCTCTTCAGTGCTAGGACTACAACTGTGCCTCATGCCCAGCTTTTTACATAAGTAAAAGCACAATCAAACTCAGGCCTCATAGCAAGCACCCTGCCCAGCTAAGCTCTCATCCCATAATCTCATCTTTTTAAATCTTATCTTGATAGCCTCTTAGTAAGCAGGGACTCTCAGAAACCCTCACACCCTCCTTCCCATTCCACTGACTCAGTCTTTGGACTCCCATTTGAGGAATGTGACTGAGCAGAAGGAGTGGGTGGTATGCTTAGGGCCAGCCTTGTTCAGGCAGTTGTCATCAATGTGGTGAGAAAGGTAGCATGTAATTTATCATAAACTGGGAGACCAAAGGTGAAAGGAATGGTAACTTATAACTCACCAGTGCATACACCCAGACTGTCCAGGCAAGCCATGATGTAGTGCTAGCATCATCTTGAACCAGAGGGTCACACTGCTGGAGTTTTGTGGGGTAAAGTAGTATTTTATTTTGGGCAAAGAAAATGTTCATTCTTCCCTTATGAAATATGTCTTGGGCTATTTTAGTCTGTCCCATACCCCAGGGAAATATTTGTCATTTGACAAGCAAGAAAGTGGTTTAATTATTATGAGCACATTGCAGGCCAGGCATGGTGGCACATGCCCATAACCTCAGCACTCAGGAGATGGTGGCAATAGGATTGCAAATTTGAGGCCACTGTAGTCCTGCTCCATGGTGAGACACTGACTGAACAATCAAGAAATGGATAGTGAAGAATATACTGAACATTGTAGAGTTCCATAGAAACCTAAGCTTTTCTTACCCAGGAAGACAGCAGCCAGCCTTGCTTCACTGACGGAATTTGGAATGAAAAGTAAAATACTTCAAATAGTTGCTTTCTGCTAAGAGAATATACAAACAAATGATACTGAGAGAGCATCCCACTGGAAAACTCTTCTTTAAAAAGAAATAATAGATTCAAAGCTAAATTTTATATGCTCAGATTTGTTGTGTATTCTTAAAAATAATTTAGCCATTTGGCAGTCTGTGCTGTTCTCCTGGTGGCTCTGTAGCTGTAGAACACCCCACTGATTCAGGGGAAATGGCCTAAAATACAAGGAGTGTCACTGGGGACACAGTTCTTGAGAGCTCTTGTCTAGCATGCATAAGGCTCCATCCCTAGTACTGAAAAAAAAGTCTTTTTAAGTAATAAGTTTAAAATGCAGTATAATCCAGTTTTACAGTCTTTAGTTTTTATTCTAAAACAATATAGTACCTTTTCTATTTTGTAGTTACTGTCTGTGTAGGTGTGTGTCAGGGCACATGTGAAGGTCCAAGGACACTTCTAGGAGTCTGTCATTTCGTCCTCCCACTCTGTGGGTCCTGGAGATCAAACTCAGATTGTCATACTTAGTGGCCAGCACCCTTACCCCATGAGCCAGCTTGCCAGCCCTGAAGTTAATATGATGCCCGTAAGATTAAATTAATTGCTGGTTTTTAAAAGATGGAATGCTGTTCAGGTACTGTCTTCACAGTTTAGCATAGTTGCATGTTACCTTTGATGTTACTCTGTGATTTTCTTCAGGTAGCTCTGGGTTTTTGTTTGTGTGTGGTGGGGCTTGGAGTCTGGACTGGGTTTTTGGTTTGTGGTATTAGAATCAAACACAAACTCTCGCATTCTAGGTACATACAACCCTTGAAGTGCACCTTAGCTTATAAGTATCCTCCTTTTTATGAAAATTTAAATGTAAAGAACAACTCAGGTCTACATATAGGGTTTTTATTTCCTATAGATAAAAAAGCTTATACTATACTCTGAAATGTTTAAAAGTTACTATCTCAAAAATCATAAATAACAGTTGTACTCATATCATCACTGTAAACAGAATTGAAACCCTTCTTACTGATTCTTAAACCAACAATCTATTCTAAGTATTTCTATTACAAAGTCAGATGATAATGATTTTTTTGTCATAGCCTTCATTATTCAGAGGGCAAAACAATACAAGTAAAAAATGCCTGCCTCAAGTAGAATGCAGTGATTATTAATTCTTTGTTTTTATTTAATCTTCAGATGTCTTTTATATCTGACAATAGCCATCCTAAGCAAGATAAATCACCCATGAACAATGTTTTTAAAAATTGTGATATAAACATAGACTTTAATCAACTGAAGCTCAATAACAAAGGTAAGGATGAAAACATATTTTCATACGTTATTGTTTGTATAGTATGTCTATGTCTGTATATCTATATATTGATATAGATATTGTTTGTGTGGTATGTCCGTGTCCGTATGTCTATATACTGATATAGATATTGTTTGTGTGGTATGTCTGTGTCCGTATATCTATA